TGTCCCCTTAGAAATCCCTCTAAGAAAACATCCTTACTCTTAGATGCTTTGCCGCGTTCAATTAAATAAATACTCATACTTTTGCTTATCACGTATTTATTTTTATCCGGAATATTTCCGTCATGAACAATCGCTTTGCAAATGTGGTTTATTTAATAATAGCCTAATTCATAGTTAATACCATTATTAAAAGTTACAATTTACACATTAATTAAAGCAGGATGGTCTCGGATAGAAAATAATGCCATTTTTCTGCTGTTAACTGTCATTCTACCTAAAGCTATGGAAAATAATGCGGGCAGATGCTTCCATTGGCAAAGAAATACGTTTTCACTGTGTTATTGAAAATATGAGTTATATTTCATAAATTCCTATTTCATAATTAATATCATTACTGTAAATTAGAGTTCACCAGTTCACTCAGTAATCATGCAGAATGATCTCGGATGCAATGTGTGGCCATTTTTCTGCGTTCAACGGCTAAGCTGTAAGATCGCTAACTTTATTAGTTCGAACCTGGTTTAAATCTGGCGAATGGGCCGGCTGGATAGGCGTTTTCGTGGTTTTCTCCACTGTAATGTGAATATGAGCTAGTTTCTCTTAGAAAATCCTCCACAAAAGCATCTCTCTCCTTAGGCAGATATACTTTGTGTGCTATGCCATAATCCATATATCCTAACCTGTCGAAACAATCATCTACACTCTACAGCAACTTCGGAAAATTATGCTTAACTATTTATTCAAAATATGTGTTACATTTAATAATAAACTAATCGCAATCAATACTGTTACTGAAAATTTTAGTACACGTATGAGATGATTTTGAATTAGAGTCATTTTTCTACTACCTAAGGCGAACAGTTGGACAAGATTATGAAAATAAGTTTAGAACTGTTACGGATCCTTTTGATAAAACGGGAAGACTAAATGAAATTTTCGTGATTTATTTCCTGTGTAATATTTAAAATTTTTTTTTTCCAATAAATTCTCCACAAAGGCATTCCTGTTCGTAGACATACAGTCTTTGCTTTCCATTAATGGAATAACTGAAATCAATATACCTGTCGGCGAACATCCACGAACACCAATATTCGTTCAGCAAAGTTATGCGTATTTAGTTCTATATGAAACAGCCGACATTAGTTCCTGTTAATACATTCCGCTTTCACTGCATTTCTTTTACATATTTATTGAAAGTATGTGTAGTATTAAATAAAGGACTAGTTAATAATTTATGTTACTTTTATATGCAGCAGTAAATGCAAAAATCAACAAGCAGGATGATTCCAAATGGAAAATACTAATAACTTTCTTATAGGAGATTATCTCTTTGTATTACTGAACTCTTTGTGAACTATTTCGGAGATACTATCATTTACCATAATTTTCGATTATCATCACGCTTCCCTACGTTATGTAACTGGAACTATCAGCGGCAGTTAATTTCTCTTTACGTAATTATAATTCCTACGACAATTACATTGTAATTGCAATCACAATGTAATTGTAATAGCATTATAAACGAAAAAGCAACTGCATCGTAATTGTAATTACAAAGCAATTGCATATCATAATGTAGCTGAGATTACATTTTGCCCAACTCTAAACTATTTTCACAGATATTACATTATTAATTTAATACATTAGTCATCACGTAAATGCATTATTATATACACTGTTTATAAACTGTATATTTGCACGAAAAATTGTTTTTTCGAAGTTTTGATTTCTTAAAAATCACAAATCACGTACATCCAATGTCACGTACAGCATTATTTAAAGTTTAAAAACATAAATAGCAAAATGTTTTAAGCAAATATTTTACACTGAACCTTTGGTATTTATTGATCTCGAATGAGAAATTCAGAAATAAATTGATTATTACATATAGGATAACTTTACAAAAGAATCACTTTTCAAAGTCCAGAGTTTTAATATAATTAATCAAACACAAAATTTGCAGTCTTGTATGATAATTATTGAAATTAGAACATTTCACTACTCATAAAATAAGGTATATGCTTAGCATAAATATAACGCTGTAATTGATATTATAGGGAGAAAATTTTCCTTTTCGTAAATATGTAATGCCAAGCAAAATGCTCGTTAAGGCAAGAACAACAATTTATGGAAATAAATCGGCGCAAAATAATTCTATTCTCTACCACAGCTGTGTAAATACATGCAGAAGTATAACAATTTTTCTAACGCACTTGTTGCTTCAAGAAGAGTTTTTGAAAGGTGAAATGAAAATGCTGTCAAGCAAGAAGGAAAATACTATAAAAGTGTTTATAATAAAGCTGATTTCTGCATACTCAGTATGAATGTATTATTGTAAAAATACGCAAATGTTTGTTCTTTACTTTTAAAAATTGTATCACTTATTTCACATTATGGAGTATTTATTTATTTTTATTTACTAACTGTTTACTAGTTTATATAATTTTGTTTTTCATTTGTGCCTAACAATTATGTATTTAGGTTTTTATTATTATGGGCTAATTGTGCTGATAAATATATTATGCGTTAATGGGAATAAACCTTTAAAATTTCGAAATGAACTTAAATCACATTTGAAATGCTACCTGTTAAAATCCAGAGGGGGAGGGAACTGTTTCACCAGCCTGACAACATTTGGCGAAGTATGATTATATTTTGATTTTTTCAAAGTTTATAAAATACTTAATAACGTTATAAGAAAATTCCAAGTATCTTTTTCGGTGCCAGATTGTTTTGTTTTGATTGCTTTATGGCAAAGTACTAGAGGGCTATATGCCTAAGGCGAGGGATACCTTCGCGAAGGACTTTCTAAGGGAACTAGCCTGTATACATGTTACAGATGGGGTAAACCACGAAAACGACCACGCAGCCAATCCGTTCGCGTGAATTCGAACCCGGACCGAACTACCAGTGTTCAGCAACTTTATCCCTCGGCACCCTGGTGGGTCTTTCTGCTCCCAAGAGTTTCAAGGTAAAATTATGCGAAGCGACCAACAGAAGTCACTAACTTAATCCGTTCCGATATCAGCACTGTCTTCATACTTAGGTTAATTGAACATGGCAGAGATTACGAGGATTATCTGCCTAAGAGAAGGGTGTCTTCGTGGAGGGCTTTGTAAGGGAAACTGACTCTTATTCACGCTGCGCATGGAGAAAACCGCGAAAGCCAACCATGCAGCCAACACGTTCGCCTGGGATCGAGACGAGGTCGAACTTCCAGTTATTCACTAGAACACTAGTGGAGCCGCACTGCTTTCAAATAATACTTTGATGCTGCAGCAAGTGATAGTGTTCCCTACTCTTGCCAGTAATTAAAAAGAGTCGGCCTGACTTGTGATGCGATCGCAAAAAATATTCTTCAAAAGAGATAAGTACCTGGCGGGGAAAGAACAGATTGAAGCGCTCTGCTTCTAAAATTAAAGACTGGGCAGGGGGTCTGGAGACTGCTCTGTATCGATGCTAGTGGTCTCTCAAAATTCATGCATTTGCAAAGACACAGTATCACACTGAATAGTAAAAGCACTAGAGAATTCTGCTTTCTCATAGGTCATCCTGATCGTTCAGTGTAGTACGCAGCAAATGTCATTCAAATGATCAGTGATCCAGCCTTAAATCATCGAGCTAATTTGAAACTTTACTGCATTTTTTAAAAATTAAATGCTGTGAACTTATGGCAGCACATGAATGCTGTATTCTTTAACAGAACAATCAGTATTTTTACCTATTTCAAGGGAGATGTTACATGAATTTTGATAACGCTAGAACTGCACGCATTTTACCACACATTTTCCTGCTACTAAAGTAGACGTTATAGTTTGAAAACTGCACAAAAGGATCAAGTTTTTACATACATCATGCTTGATTATTAACAGTCGGTAAGAATCGTCTAATTCACCATAATATTTCTGTAAATAAATACCTTGAATAACAGTTCTTCGATTTTTTTTTAACGACCAGACATTCAAATAAGAAATTTTTTTCTCGATGATACGAAATGATGAATAAATACTCACACACTGCATTAAAACTCATTAAAATACACATTTAGAATGCTTATTTATAGTCGGGGTGCTGAAACTTTCTCAATGATATTTTCCCATATTAAAATAAGGATTAGAAAGTGTGTGTGTGAGGGAAGAAACATGGTCTTATCTTAAATCGATTTGTATACAGTGTGTGGAAGGAGGGGAAGTGAATATTCATTAACCAAGGAAACGTGATTAATAAAAATGACTCAATTTAGCTTCATAAATTGGTCCTTATCAAAAAAAAAAAAAAAAAAAAGTGAAATAATTAAAATAATGCTTTTTTTCCAATTTGAAGTATTAAATTACCATATCTAGAATGTATTTCATTTACTTCAAAGAAAATTGCCATTTGCAGAATAAGAAATTTGGGAAAGCAAAAAACTTAAGCTTCCGAAATTTCTCCTTCTACAAATGACAATATTCTTCAATTTCAGATGCTAACTAGTTTTGGTTTGGTTTAACTGATTATGCAAAGCACACTAGAGCTGTCTGCGTAAGGGAAAAGATGCCTTCGAGAAGGACCTTTCTAACGGAAACTGGCTCGTATACACGTTACACATGGGGAAAACCACTAAAATGGTCATGCAGCGAGCCCGTTCGCCTGGTATCGAACCCAGGTCGGAACTATCAGTACTCAGCGATTTTACAGTTCGGCCGCTGGTGGGCCTTTCAGATGCTATATCAATCTTCTTCCAGCACACTGCGATTCCGAAAATTGCGTAGGATAATATTTTTAATTTATTTTTTACATTCATTGTCCTCGCTTTAAATATTAATTATAATCTTTTAACACTTAAAAGGCTTCCATCTGGAACCACACTAGACTATAAAAAAGGAAGCAAAAATTAACGCTGCATCAGTTTTTGAAAAGCAACACGAATGCAAATCCTATTAAGTTCAATCAAGAAATAAGTATCAATTCCTTGAATTTATGTCTTGACAAGGAGACAATAATATACAATTCTCACTTACCTGGATCAAACTTCCATAAATCTTTCAGTGGAAGATTTGCACTGCGGCCACCAAGAAGGTATATAAAACCTGCTTGGGATACGCACATGGCATGCTTGGAGCGTGAACTGGGTGCTGGACATCCATCAGCTACCTGGACATTAGACCACATGCCTCTGAAAGCAAAGAAAAGTAGAAGTTATTTTTCATTATATATAACTTCTATCTTATTTGAGTCTTTTGTATTTCTGCAACTTGTTTAACAGATTTATTATGGAAAGAAAATTATACAAAATTAAGTACTGAATAAAAGTCTTCGCTGTCTGTAAAACATCGTTTTCAAGATTTTAAGTACCAATATCGAATTACAAAACCGTTAACAGAAAAGAGAGGGAAGAGGGAAGATACAAATATATGTAAAAAATTATGTTTGGCTTAAGCAAAATAAAAAAAAAAATAAATAAAACAGGCAGAACAATTCGAAAGAATAATACAATGTTTACAGATCATGATTGAGTCTCAAAGATGGTGACTAACTTTTCTGTATTCACTTTTCCTATTTTTAGATAGTTATTTGAACGCAGCAAAGCACACAAAGGCTATCTGCATACGAAACACCGGTAGCAAGATCGGAGTTCACCGGGATTTGAACTCCGATCTTGCTATCGGTGTTCAGCGGTCTAAAACATTTGCATTGTTAATAAAATGGAATTATTAACTGATTTTCGACTAGAAAAGAGATACTTTCAGAAAGTATATTAATTCAATATGTATTTTTTGATAAAAAATCCACTTAGTTTATTTCCTATTAATATTAAATCCCTACATATCTGTATCTCCCCCCTCCTCGAAAACAATTTCATAGTGTTATTCGACAGATTAATTAATTGCAATGTATGGAGCCATAAATGTCGGTACAGGATAAGTAACAGCAGTATAATCAGTGTGATTCAAGTTGTAAAGCAATGGATTTTGTTTCTTTGTCAGCCACATCAACAGAGCAACTGCATATTCAAATAAATGTTTGTTCATCAAATATTTTCTCCAGCATAGAAAAAGCTTATATTGCGTATAAGAAAGTAAAAATTAACGAATTGACGCTCAAGGTAAAACACGTGAGTTGTTATAGATTGCCAAATCTTGTTCAATGCGCATCAAGCAAAGATTCTCGCCAACCTAAAAAGACGTGGTTGATAAAAATATGAACGTTATATTATTCAAACAGAATAATTACAATTCATGTTCATTAGATATCATGACAGAACATTTTTCAAGCATAAAGGAAACAAAGAGAGCACAATAATTTAATATTAAAATATTCTGAAAGATAAATAGCACAACATGTATTGCTCCAAAGACTGGAAAGCTAAACAGCGACTGAAATTCGCAACAAACTTTTATCACACCCAGACATTTAGCATTTAATTATTCAGGCCATTTTTGGGCGGATACAGTGGGAGCTCTGCCAACAGACTGATAAAAAATTCCGAAACATTAAGAGTCTTGTATCTTTACCCAAATAGTTACAATCGAAGTAAAGGAGTAAAAGGAAAACGCGATGAATGAAAATGGCCATAAATAGAACTTATTCTTAAAATTATTGTACGCAAAATTTAAATAAAGTTACAACCAAACGGAGGAAGTCCTCTTTTTAGGAATTTTATCAGATACGGGGCACATTTTTTTAGGAATCGTGAAATCATTTTTTTATAATTTATTGAATCTCCTAATTAATTAACAAATGTTCGACAAAAATTAATATGCTTTATCAGTAGATTATATCGATTATTGATTATGATTAATCATTACATAGCTCGAAATTCAAAGGCTTGCAGACATGTTAAAGTATCCATTATCTTCGTCTCTGGCAGATTTTTTTAAAATCTCAAAGATTTTTAAAATATTCATTTCATTCTGCATAAAATCCAGTCTATGACAAAAGAAAACTGCTCTAAATTTATGTGACGTCAGATAATTTCATTTATATCTTAAATTGCTAACGGTCAACTTTCGTTCATATGACTCTCAGTTTAAGATTGGCGCCTAAGGTTGCACAATAAATTTCGTTTAATTAATATTTCAGATTGTGTTTTGAAATAATAAAATTTGCTTTAAAAGTCAGAAAATGCTGTTTATTTCAAAATAACATCCCGTCGACCATTTAGTGCCAGTTACGGATAAACATTAAGTGCCAACACAGCCTCTACGCTTTTATTTGATGTAACCACATTTGATTCGCGATACGTTACACAATATCACATTTGTGACTACAGTCTTAGTCAATTACAGATGGTACAACTAGGATCTGTTGAATGGGTTGGTTTGGTTTGGTCATGGGAAAATACACGATAGCTGTCTGCCTAAAGGAAAGGATGCCTTCGTGCAGGACTTCCTAATTGAAACTGGCTCATATCCGCGATGCACATGGGGAAAACCATGAAGACGTCAATGCAGCCAGCTTGTTTGGCTAGAACCGAACTGGGTCGAACTCCCAATGTTTAGCGACTTTACCTCTCGGTCGCTGGCAAGGTCTGTTCTACAAGGAAAAAGAATAGCCGATAAAAGTAATGGATTGGAAGAATTACCAGCGGAAAGTTTGTACTCGTAGCTCTTTAAATAGAGCTTCCGGTAAAATCGGAGGGTCTAATAAAATTTGACGAAAGTGTTTTTACGATGAGCAAAAACGAAGCGGTTGGGATATTTGCACATCAGTGGCTATTCGATAGAATTGTGCAGAAAGACTAACGAATGTTTTATTTTAAGATATTAGAAGTGCGGCTTAGAATTCTGCAGGAACGACAGAATTTGGTGGATCTCTGACAACTTTAATGCTTCCATGGTAGCCAACTTTCACGTTCGATGGGATAACAAGTAAGTACCAAAATAAACAGTTTCTAAAACAGTACTTTTTTTTTAATCATGTACAATGTTGCCCGGCGTGGTATTGAATCTCATTGTTTATATACAGAAAGAGTGACCCTCAAAATCAGAAAAAATGAATGAAGAAAATGTTTAAAAGTTTACAGAAATGGCTTTTTAAGTATTCGATAGTTTAAAATTTATAGATACTTTTATTTTGCAGCAAAATACAGGATGTGCAAATGGCTCATAATTCATCTGAAAAGTCTGAAATTCTTAAACCCTACAACATTAGATTTTTTTTCTTTCAAATCTCCTTTCTAAAGATACGTGAGAAAATTTTTCGATGGTCAATATATTTCTGCACCTTTATACACCACTCACGTACAGTCGCTCAAACAATTGAGGATACACCTTACTTTCACTTGATAAATTCAACTTTCAATAGAAATAACACATTAGCTAGAAGAGAAAACGTGTTTTTATTTTCACACGTAACAAAAGGGTTAATATGCAGTAAAAATAGCGAAAATCAAAAAAAAAATATAAAATTAAAAATTTCACTAGTATTTGAAATAAACATAGGCAGATCTTTACCTAAAATATTAAGGATACACCAATGAAATTTTTGTGATATATTACACATAAAGACAGTGTCAATATTTGGTTGCATGTCCTTTGGCTTTTATAATGTCCTCCAAACGTCTTGGTACCGATTCGACCAATTTTTTGGTGGTATCTGGAGATAATTTATCCCATTCTTCTTGTAACACTTGCTTTAAATAGGCTTTGTTCCTAATTTGGTGTTTTTGGACCGCTGTTTCGAGTGTGGCCCACAAATTTTCTATGACATTGATGTCAGGGTCTGTGGTGGTGTTTTCAATTGCTATTTACAATGAAAAAGACACCACATTTTGACATTATGTGTCATGTGTTTGGGGTCGTTGTCGTGCTGGAATATAAAATTTCCATCTAAACCCAATTTTTTTGCACTTTCTTTAATATTGTGTTCGAGTATATCTATATAAAGCTTATGATCCTATATGCCATTTATAAAAACTAAATTTCCAACCCCATTTGAAGCCATACAACCCCAAACCATGACGAAGCCACCACCATGTTTAACTGTAGGACGTAAATTTTTTGGATCCAAACCGGTGTTCGGCTTTCTCCAAACGTTGCGATGACCATCACTTCCAAAAATGTTGAATTTACTTTCATCACTAAATATAACTTTCTTCCAAAAGTTATCTGTCTTCAATTGATAAGTTTTTACAAACTCCAAACGCTTTGTCTGATTTTGTAAGCTTATAAATGGTTTCTTTCTAGCTATTCGACTGCTGTATCCAGCATGTCTAATCACATTTCTCACAGTTTCAGCACTTATACTTCTGAACATTATTCGAGAAGTTTCTGCAGCTAGTTTGACTGCACTTAGTTTAGGATCAATCTCGATATCTTTCAAAATTTTCCTTTTGGCTACATCACTCAGAATACTTTTCCTTCCTCTTCCACTTTTATTTTCAATTAATCCATCGCTTTTAAATCTTCCAATGATTTCTGTACACGCGAGTGGCTTCTACCGACAATTTCAGCTATTTCACGATAATATTTTCCTTTCTTAAATAACCTTAATAAATTTTCTTACATCAATACTGGTCTCTCTCCGAGGAGCCATTTTCTATTTAAACTTGCGACTTTAAATTCACATAACCAACTTCAAAAGACAAAAATAACAGTCGAAAAAGTTTAAGATAAAATTGCCCAAACTTAGATTATGATAGTAGCAAGCAGAAAAAAAAAAAAAAATCTAGTGGTAGTTAAACAAAAATTTCATTGGTGTATCCTCAATTTTTTTAGGTAAAAATCTGCTTATGTTTATTTGAAATGCCTCTGAAAATTTTTATTTTAGAATTTTGTCGTTGATTTTTCTTTATTTTTACTGTTAATTAAACCTTTTGTTATGTCTGAGAATAAAAGTACGTTTGCACTTCTAGTTAATGTGTTATTTCGATTGAAAGTTGGATTTATCAAGTAAAAGTAAGATGTATCCTCAATTGTTTGAGCGACTGTATATAGTTTCAAATTATGAACTTCGAAATTTTTTGGCAGAGTATCAGAACTCAAATCTTACGAATGACTATTTTTGTAAATAGTTTTGGAATTAGAACGTACCAAGACCAAATGAAAGATAGACACAAAAAAATTATTAAAAAATATACGTTTTTTGAATATATGTTTCATAATATGGACACTGGCCAATGAACTGGACATCACTGAACAATGAACAAAAAATTAAATCAATATTTACAATTAC